TTTGGGACATATGTGATATGTGGTCCTTTGGGATAAATTATAAGTGCCCCTAGTGGGAATTATATGAGCTGTGGTAATATCATATGTGCACAACCTCTATGTACTCACATACCTTAAGTTCTCAGAAATATTCATGGGCTTTAAAGAGAATAAATAAATAACTTGGCTTGATACAATATGTGCTTTATTGTGAAATGATCTACTTGTTTTTATGATGTGTATAGAAATGGTAGTACATGTTTATATGATAAAAAAGAATTAATAACAATAATATAATTAATGTTTAGCATGGTAATAATGATCTATGTGTACATGTAAGCATTGTGTTGCATGATATGTACATGCATTTGTGAAATAGTTATATTTCCATTATTTAGTGATATGTCCCACTAATTCTATGACTTAGCATGTAAGTGTTTTACACGTAGGTGCTGATAAGCCACATGATCAAGCTTAGGACCAGCAGAACAACATATTTGTACTTGAAGATCGGATCAGAACTAGTTTGTAAAGTATGCCTTTTATGTAATAGACACGTTGGCATGTAAACAAAGTCGTTAAATATGTATGCTCTGATCTATTTGGCGGATCCGTGTCCGGGTCGGGTACGGGTGGGGTGTTATATTTAGTGGTATCGGAGCCAAGGTTTAGCCGATATTAGGCTTAAATCGGTGTCAAAAGAGTTTTAAAATGTATACATGCTAACAAAAAGTGAACATTTCTGATCTGATAGAGTCATAACTATGTTGTCTTCTAATAGAGCTATATGATTATGTCTAAGATGTCCGATCGTGTGAGTTCTCGAAATGAAAGGAGAAATAATAGAACTGGAGGTAGTAGTAATTCACCTACCCTAGCTAGGCAGGGTGAAGAGCGAACACCTCCAGAAGTACCAGTATGAGATCAAGAATTGTTCTTTGGGACGTTAAACGCTATTTTGTCACGTTTTCAATCTCATGCTCTCTCAGCTCCTCGAATGAATATAGCTAAGGAATTGAAAGGTTTAGGAGCACCCAAGTTCAAGGGTGAAGTTAAGGAAGATCCTATTGCTACGAATCTTTGGTTGAACGATGTTAAGATAATGTTAGAGGGACTCCACTTCACTGAAGTAGAGAAATTAGATGGAATAGTTTCCCTACTACGTGGTCAAGCTAGAATATGGTGGACAAATGTCACCATGAGATAGAGAAGTGATCAAATGACATGGTTATTCTTTTTGGAAGAATTCAAGCGTAAGTATATTGGTGACCAATTTATCAGACAGATGAAACAATAATATATGAATTTGAAACAAGGGGATTACACAGTGTATGAATATGAATGTGAGTTTAACCAGTTAAGTCATTTTGTTGCTGAGCTTATTATGACTAAGAAGGATGTATGTGATTGGTTCATGGAGGGTTTGCGTCCTAGGCTAAAAGAGTTGTTGCTAGCCTTGAATTTATCATCATTTCAATAAGTGGTCAATCGAGCTGAAGCTATAAAAAAGAGCTAAGAATGAGAGATTCAAAAAGCGAAAAGTTCAGAAGTCTAAGAGAATTGGTACTTCGTCAAGTTCATCACCATCAAAGAGAAGTAGAGATTTAGATTCTCCAACTCAGGATATGTTTGAATTAGCTGCTTCTACGCTAAAAGATCAAATATAAGTCAATCCAGGCAATGTTAATGTTGTGGAAAGAATCATACATGAGTCTGTAAAGTGATTTCAGGAGCCTGTTTTAAATGTGGTGATGTTGGACATTTTATCCGAGGTTGTCATTTATTAAATGATGAGACTGTACAGAGAGAGAAATCTATTAATTTATCTCAGAGAAGTAGGAATAGAGGTCGTGGAAGAAATCAGTCCGGGTCATTCACTCAGGATGATATGCTTCTAACTGCACGAGTTTATAATTTAAGACCGATGAAGATTTGAGGATCCAGAGATTATGGAAGGTAAATTTCAATAGTGTGGTAAAGTAGTTTGGTTTTAATAAATTTGGGATCAACATAGTATCTGCTAGTGATAATTAGAAGGAGAATTGAAAAATAATTTGGAAGTGATAGGTAATGAACTGTTAGAGATCGATTAGTAGGGTATGATTTTCAAGTGAATAAGTTGTGTCGAGTTTGTATATAGTATGAATATAAGGTTAATAGTAAGTAAATCAAGATTTTTTTAGTATTATAAAGGATTGATTCATCTCGTTGTGAAGTGAAAATTCAAGGGCGAATTTTCATAAAAAGATGGGAGATTTGTAACACCCCAAAAATTGAACTACTGATTGAAATAAAAGTTTTTGAAATTTAGTGAACCATTTAAGAAAATTTAAAAGTTGAAGGACTTAATTATGAATATATTAGTATGAGATTAAATAATAATTATGGATGGAGTGATTGGCATTATGGTAATTTCAGCTTAAAAGATATTTTATCCCCTTTAATATGAGATAAACACGTGAAATGGGGGATTTATCCAGAACCTTTCTTATTGCTACCTTCTTCCTCCCGTTTTCTCTAGCTATAAAGGTAAGTTTGATTTCAGTTATTAAAAAAATGAATTTTTAATATAAAGAGGTTTTTGAAGTTCTATTGATGAATTTGACTTGTCATTAGAAGGGTTAAGAAGCTTGAAGCATTAGAAATGAATTTAGAAAACATGGAAAGTTTAGTAAAATTCTTAAATTCAAGAGTTATGGTTAGTTATGAAAGATGATGAGGTGTTATAGTGATATGTAAGGGTTTAAGTATGTATAGTTGAGTTTAAAAGCATGAAGAGAGCCAAATAATTAGAGTTTGGGGTAAAGTGTTGGAAATTTTCGGGCTAAGAAGCATTTTCTGGGTGAGTAGTATCGATACCTGTTGAGTTGGTACCAATACTACAAGGCAATTTATGAGGAAATGATATATGGGGTATTGATACCTGCATGAACAATATCGATACCATAAGGAAGGAGTATTGATACCATAAGGAAGGAGTATTGATACCATTATAGAGGGTATCGATACCAGGGAACATCGAAGCTAATTTTGTTATCGGTACCGGGGTAGGGTATCAGTACCCTAACATAAAAGTATCGATACTGTAAAGGTAGTACCGATTCTACTTAAGTTGGAAAGTTGAAATTGGAGTTTTTTTTAGTTTATAGTGATATGAATTGTATCAAGTAATTTGAATCCTGACATTCATTAAATTACGTATTCATGTAGATATCGATCGGAAGCAAGGTTCGGATAGGCTGTCAGAGTAAGATTTGAGGGAGAGAACGAGAGCTTGATATTAACAAGTAATCAAAGTGAGTACATGATATTAAGTGTAGTTAGGTTATAGAATTAAGACTTGCGAGGAGTCTAATTCTGATACTAGATTATATGAGTACCCAAATGTAAGCATGTAGTGATATGATGTTTAGAGATATATGAGTACATGCATATGTCTAGATGTAAGTACATCTCTATTTGTGTGATTTATGTGAATACATGTATGTGTGTTAAACTATGAGACTAGAACTTATGTGAATATATGAAAAATGAAATGAGCTAAATAATATGGATTTATGTGACCGTGTGAAATGATATAAGCTATATGATCATAAAGTACGTGAATGCATGCTTATAAGATAAGCCATGTGGCTTTCAACTATATGATAAGATGATATGTGATTAAGAGATATATGCCATGAGATATGTGATATGTGAATCATATGGAAGTGATCTATATGTAACTGAACTACGTGATTATGTGAATGTATGATAATATAAATAATAATGCCCATGTTATGTGTTATGAATGCTAGGGGTATAGTTGGCATGCCAAGAGTCGAGGGTTCTACGTGGTCCTTCGGGACACATATATAATCCTTTGGAACATATATGTGGTACTTCGGTACACTTATTTGGTCCTTCGAGACATAGTGGTCCTTCGGGACAAATTATAAGTTCCCCTAGTGGGAATTATACAAGTTGTGGTGACAACATATGTGAACAACCTCTATGTACTAACATACCTTAGGTTCTCAGAAGTATATGGGCATTAAAGAGAATAAATAAATAACTTGGCTTGATACATGTGTGCTTTATTGTGAAATGATCTACTTGTTTTTATGATGTGTATAGAAATGATAGTACATGTTTATGACTAAAAGGAATTAATAAAAATATTATAATTAATGTTTAGCATGGTAATGGTAATCTATGTGTATATGTAAGCATTGTGTTGCATGATATGTACATGCATTTGTGAAATAGTTATAGTTCCATTATTTAGTGATATGTCTCACTAAGTCTATGAGTTAGCGTGTAAGTGTTTTACACGTAGGTGCTGATAAGCCAGAGTATCAAGCTTAGGACCAGCAGAACAACATATCTCTACTTGAAGATCATACCAGAACTAGTTTGTAATGTATGTCTTTTATGTAATAGACACGTTGGCATGTAAACAAAGTCTTTAAATATGTATGGTCTGATCAACTTTTGTAATGTTTTGAAAATAGTGAAGTGAAATAATAACTTTATATTAGTAAATGTTTAAATTTCTCTGGGTTTTTATAAAAGTACATGTTTTGAATAGTCAATGAAACACCTCCAATCCGTGTCCGGGTGGGGTGCGGGTTGGGGGTGTTACCCAAAGCTCCGAGATGAATATCGACCCACTCCAGACCCAATATCCAAGCAAGAGCATGTTTGTAAAATGGAATATCTTGTAAAAATGAAGACTCTTGTCTCTAATGAAATTTGTTCTATGATATTCGTCTTTGGATCGATACTTTTTGCATTGCATTCACATTTTCACCTTTACAATTAAGCATCTTCGCATGTATTAAGCATGAAAACATGAGATTAATTCTTGGAGAACTCTGTGGAAGTGGTTCTAACCACGTGATTTCTGAGAATTATGGGCTTAACCGAGTCATGGGCATGGACATCCGATGAATGATGGGGGATTTTAATGTCAATCATGAAGAAAGTCCTTGCACCCACCATGAAGTTGCACTTGCACTTGCATTACATCTTGTTTAAACTTGTTTTCTCTTTTCTTTCTATGTTTAAATGTTTGTAAGTCACTTGACATTTGAACATATTAAATAAAATGGCATATTATGAGGTTATAAGCAATGAACAATTTTAATCTTGTAGTTCTTTAAATATCATTTGAATTGAAAACTCTCTTTGAGAATCAAGGTTATGGCCTCTAGGCAAGTGGCAAGATTGAACCTTTGTAAAAGAAGGACCCTTGATCTTACTCCAGAAAATACACTCAAACATCATACCCTTTTCTTGCAGGGACCAGTTATCCTTCTCCTCCCATGAAGAGATGATCAAAGGGCTTGGCATTCAAGTATGTATAGGAGATGACAAAATAAGGCATCTTGCATATAAGGTTGCAAAACTGATTAGACTGTACTTCTATTGGGGATGTTAAATGATGACCATAATCTTCTCAGATGGGATGATGGAATAGATGAACTTAGTTTAGGTCAGTTGCTTAGGAAGCGAACTCTAAAGATGAGGTTCTTTTACTTCAACGACACCTAGAAAGGTTAAGAAATCTTGAAGTCGAATACTCGAAAGGTTAATGAAATAGTGATAAATGAGTGTAATAAAATGGGGCCACTCCGCTGAAAGCATTAAACTGATAACTTGAAGGTAATTTCAAGCAGCTATTAAGGTAAGTCTAAGCTTCATAAAGTGGTTATATTTAAATCATGACATTAACTGTGACGCGATAAAATCCCCGAGGTAAGTGAAAGAAACGATAGGTAAAAATAAAACAAACAAAAGAAAAAAAAAGAAAATAATGAATGAAGAAAAAAGATTTTAAGTAATTCAATAAAGGCGATAATGCCTAAGGTTTAGATTAAGGAGTGTCAATAGACGATGGACTACGGGAATTGAGGAGCACCTGTTATAGTCAACTTCACATGAGCACTCTAAAATTTTATCTTTAGACCGATATCACAACACTGCCTCAAATAAAGGAGTCTATGAAGCTTGAACAAATGGAAGATTTCAGAGAACTGAAATAGAAATGTTCTAAAAGGTTTAACAATTTAGTATGCTAGTTGTGTCATTTTGTCTGCCCGGTTAAAATTCCAAGCCTAGAATGAGGGGTATGCCGCAATGTTCACATGAACAAATAAGAGAATGACAAAAGATGACAGGAACCATAGAAAATTTAGGAATCCAACCTAGAATCAACCCGCCAAATCTTGACACTTGTTAAAGAGCCATAACTTTGAAAGATAAAAAGCGTAATTAATTCTTGGATAATCTAATGAACTCTTGTTTTATAATTTGTCTCAATCGTGAATCTTAAAGTAAGGGGCAACATTTTAAAAATTTCATTCATTTTTCAAAGCTCTTTCATAAAACATTTTCAAAACTTATTCATCATACTTTTTGACCTTTTGAAAAATGGAAAGATAAAGAAAAACATTTTCAAACATGACAATCTCTCTGGAGTAGATCTTGGTAATTGACAAATGTCTCCCAAACACCAAAGCTTATTCTCATAATCGGATAAGAAAAGATGAAATTTCAGGGTAAAATTTATTAGACAAGAAGAACAAATTGACACTGGTTAGTAATTGCAAAAGTTCGCTCTGATGTGAAAAATAATAAAGACAACTCAACCGGAAAGAAAATGAAGACTGCTCATGCATCCATTCTCGACCACTGATCAAGAAAACATACATTCACATAGGCATACATATTACATAAAGTTGCATCTTTGCATCAAACATTCATCATCACATACAACGTAATAAACTTTGATTTCTCTCTCACGAGAATGCTTTTAAAATTCCTCTTGGAATTTTGTCTTATTTAAGACTTTTCTCTCCTCTCATGAGTGAAAAATCTGTTAGAACGGTCCTTAAGATTTTAGGGAGTTAGACATGAATCGCTCCAACTTAATTAAAACACAATGGTTTAAAAAAACAAATTTGGATTCGCCATCGACCTTTGGGTTAGGTAGGGAGAATACTTAAAAATGTATTTTTAGATAATTTTAAGAAAAATCAAGTTAAAAGATGAAAACCAATATGCGTTTAACCAGAGATTCATTTTGAAAAGGGATTCATGAGTCGAATATGAATAGGGATGAGCACCCCCACAACACCCAAAATTGGTACCAAATTGATTATACATCGTCTTCATGTTTGTATGTCAGTACTTTAAGGTTGTGCACTATAATTGCAGTTGAAACTGCTGCGTAGAATTTGCACTGAAGTGTCAGATAGATTTGTCTTAAGGACTGCATATAATTGTCCCGAAGGACCACATAGAATTGTCCCAAAGGACCGCGTAGAAACCCTCGACTCTAGGCATGCCAATTATACCTCTAATTCTCATAGCACATACTTTGGGCTTTAACCATATAAGTATTTCACATAGCATTATTCAAATTATCATTTATTCACATAGAACATATACTCATAGTAACGAAATCAAAACAATGCCTTTGAAATGCGATTCAGGTAAAACCATAAAAATTAACATAAATAACTATTCAAAATTATATTTTAGTTAAAAATCATTGAAAGTTGACTTATCACAAGTCTTCTTCCCTTGTATTAACACATTAAAGTAACATGCACTCACATTTGTCTCATTTAAGCCATAAATAAAAACCCTTTTCACTTTCGTTCAATCTCTTTCTTACGTCGATTCGATCAGTACTTGTTTTCGATCGAAATCTACATATTAACATGACCAAAATAAATATCGAAGCTAAATAAATTGTTAACCAATCAGAATTTATATAAACTAGATGAAACACCTAATTCACAATTTTAGCTGAACAGTATCGATACTGGGTGTACCGATACCTACCTCAGTATCGATACCCAAATTATTCTGGAAATTCCTTTCAATTACATTATCGATACCTTACCATTGGTATCGATACCATTAGTATTGATACTACCCATTCAGTATCAATTTTGTTCATCTGATTCATATAGTATCGATATTGTTCTTCCAGTACCGATACCCTTGCCCAGAATTCACTTATTTCATTTCGAATTTGACCCAAAACTCAACTAAATCTCATACTTCTAACTCAATTCATACCCTTAAACTCAATAATACTTATCACAACCAACTTATATCAATTAAATTCCCTTTAACATCCACAATTTTCACTAGAACACTTAAAACTAAAAATCACACCCATTCTTCAAACATGTTCCTAATCCTTAATACCTCAAACAGCTTATTTAGACCTTTGAAAAGTTAAATATACCTTTAAAATCCAAATACTAATCATTTTTCTTCAACTCCTTAAAAACCCATTTTACCAAATCATCATTAACTCATCAAGCCCATAGTTTCTAATCATCTTTAAGCTTTCTTAAGCTTCTACAACACCCAAAACTTAAAACCAATTAAAAAATGTAAGAAACAACCATCTTCAAGATTACTCTCCTTAGCATAGAGGTTCACGGTGGAAATGAAGAAGAAAAGATAAAGAGAGAGCTTATAGCTTTTATTTTCCTTTTCTCCTATTCCTTCATATGTTATACTAACCTTAATATGAATTTTAAATTCATTTCATTCCAAAAGACCATTTTACCCTTCTATCCTTCAATCTTTGATAACATTTGCTAAACAATTTTTTTAAAATCAATCCTTGAACATTTCAATTTATCAAAATCAAATTGCTAAATTTTACTTCTTACACTTTAGTCACTAACCCGATGTTTGGAATATTACAATTGTCCCCCTTAAGAAAATTTTTCCTCGAATTTTCACTGTATAAAGAGATGAGGAAATTATCTTCTCATGTCCTCTTTACACTTCCATGTCGCCTCTTCCACTTTGTAATTTCTCCAAAAAAAACTTGAACTAACGAAATCAACTTGTTCCTTAGTTGTTTGACTTCATGTGCTAAAATATACATTGGTTCTTCCTATAGGTCATGACAGATTGGACTTCTATCTCTTTCGGTGCTATGATGTGAGAAGGATCTGATCGATATCTTCTGAGCAACGAAACATGAAAAATATTGTGGATCTTCTCCATTTCAGGTGGCAATGCTAACTGATATGCCCCTGGTCCCATTCTCTTTATAATCTCATACGACCCAATAAATCTAGGACTAAGCTTTCCCTTTCGACCAAAACGAAGCACTTTTTTGCAAGGAGAAACTTTCAAAAACACTTTATCTCCTACTTGATCAATCTCCTTTCTTTTCAAATCCGCGTAGACTTTTATTTGTCTATTGCCACTTTAAGATTATGTTGGATCACCTGGACCTTTTATTCTACTTCTTTAATTAAATCAGGACCAAGAATGTCCCAGTCTTTTAATTCATACTAATTAAGCAGCGTTATGCATTTCCTTCCATACAATGCCTCATACGGTGCCATTTTAATGCTGATTAATAACTGTTATTGTACGCAAACTCTGTGAGCGGCATATACTTTTCCCAAGATCCATGGAAGTCAATCACATACACCCTTAACATATCTTCCAAAACTGGATAGTCGCTCAGATTGACATTTGTATGTGGGTGAAATAATGTGCTAAAATTCAATCGAGTACCCAAGGCTTCATGTAAAGACTTTCAAAACCTTAATGTAAACCTAGGATTTTTATTAGATACTATTGAACTCGGTACTCCATGAAGTCGAACAATCTCCTTGATATATAATTCAACATATTTATTCATCGAATAATTAGTTCGAATGAATAAAATGCAATGTCTTCGTCAATCTATCAACTATAACCCAAATAGAATCTTTTTATTGGTGTTAATGGTAACCCTATTACGAAATCCATCGTAACTCGGTACTCCATTGAGGAATGGAGATCAGTTGTAAAAGTCTTGAAGGTACCTGATGCTCAGCTTTTACTTGTTGACAGGTTAAGCACTTTGCAACAAACTCTGTGATAGCTTTTTTCATACATGGCCACCAGTATCGGCCTTTTAAATCTTGATACATCATGTTCTCTACTAGATGCATAGTCAACGGACTATAATGCGCTTCAAAAAGTATATTTTTCTTCAACTCTTCATCACTTGGAACACAAACTAGGTGTCTATAGTATAAACATCCACCAGAATTTACTTCAAAGTCTTTGATTTCACCTTTTTCACTTGTTCCATTCTTGCTAAACACTTCTTATCTTTCCTTTGCAACTCCTTTATTCGCTCCAACAATAAAGGCTTTATCTTTAATTCTGCCACCAGAGCACCACTATCCTTTAAAAATAATCAGCATCTAACATGTGTAAAGTTGAAAAAGTCTTTCGACTAAGTGCATCAGCTACAACATTAGTTTTCCCTTGTTAACCGTCTATAATTGCATCATAATCTTTAAGTAACTCGATCCATCTCCTTTATCTCAAGTTTAGCTCCTTTTGAGTCAAAAATACTTTAAACTTTTGTGATCAGTGCAAATATAACATCGCTCACTATATAAATATTGGCACCATATCTTCAGAGCAAACACCATCGCTACTAAATCAAGATCATGTGTCAGATAATTCCTTTCATGTGGCTTAAGCAGTCTCGAAGCATAGCTACCACCTTTCCATCTTGCATCAAAAGATATCCCAAGAAACTCCGTACTTCAGAAACATTTATTAGAACCTCCCAATCTACAATAGCTTTAATCTTCTAGGATCCACCCGAATCCCCTCTGCGGATACTACATGTCCAAAGAATGCAACTTCAGGTAACCAAAACTCACACCTAGACAATTTAACATAAAGTTTCTTATCTCGAAGTATTTGAATAATCACTCGAAGATGGGCGTCATGTTCTTTATTCATCTTTGAATAAACTAAGATATCATCATTAAAGATGACAATAAACTGATCGAGGTACGGTTAAAATACCCTTCACATACTGGTATGAGAGGCATCATCATACTACTTGTATTCATTACTGATTGCAGATTTATTGCACCTTTCTAACTTTTGTAGTCTACACTACTGTAAAGAACACTATTCTTTACTATTCCTTATACTTAAAATTTCTCCACTTGATCCATCAGAAACTAGATTCAAATACGTATCTAACCATATAATGTAATTTTTCCAATTCAACTTGTACAATTTCTGACGGATTTCCAATCCAGTTTACAAAATTTACTTTGAACAAGACTTCTATTCTAATTCCTAACCTATTATCAATTAAAAATTCCTATCTCCCATACACATTTCAAAATAAATTTTCTCTTACTTTGAATGAAACCCACTTGATTTGTCTTCTTTACCACATGAGAATCAGTTTCAAATGTCCTCTATAAAATTGTAATGACTTCTCCGACTTACTTTCCAAACTATCAGTTTCCAATTGATCTTATTATTACATATCTTGCATTTCCTTGTTTCTTACTAATTCAAATAAATATTGCCTCATTTACTAATAACTTGGTAGTAGGGAGGGGTCATCAAGAGTTTCTTTATGAATCTTTTGAATATCAGTGAATTCCAAGAGATTTCGAATTCATAATAACTTTTCAAAATTCTACTCAATCACGGCCGTAGATATACTATACTTTCTATCGTTCCACATTTATCTTCTTTCGAAAATTTAAACCATTAATCAAAATTCTACTTCGTCTCCTTCCTTTATCTTAATTAAATTGAAATATCATTAGGAAAATACAATTATCGTCGACTTTCACGTACGATTGGGAATTTGATTCCCTAACACATAAATATAAATGAAACCTAGTTTAGCTTAAAAATATTTCATCAAACTAGCATTATTCGCTTCGAATTCTATTATTCGATCGAAAATTAAAAAGAAATGCTTATGCACTTTAACTGTGAAGCTCGTCAATCCTTATTAAACAATCTTTATCAATATGAATTGTTTTTGTATTCTAATCGTTGAAGTTAATCGTTCGCAATTGTTTCCTATAAAATCTTTCATTTTCTCAACTCTTTTTTCAACCATCATAATCTTGTAATCCCTTCGAGCCTCTCTGAATTGTTAACTTTGAAGAACCATCTATTAGGGTCTAACAACCATCTAATAGCGACTTATACGCTATTTATCCTTGCCTTTGTAGCCCTAAAACATTTAACCATCACTCTATATACCAAAATCAATTATAATCCAACATTCCTCTATATTGATATCTTTGTTTTCCAATTGAGTGAACTGTAGTCTCGTCTCAATTTACTCTTTACCCGTTGGCAGAACATTCCTTTGCAATATGAAGAAAATTTCGTATGACACTAACCTTCTAGAATAATAAACTAGAGTTTCCTGTAGTTTATTCAAATTAAAAAAAAATCTTGATCATTCTTTTTAAGTTATCAAATAATATCGTTGACATTGACATTTCTCACTATATCATTATCTAACAAATTTACTCTTATATTATCCCATATTAATAAAAAATCACATTATTCATATAATCACTTAATCACACCAGATCAATAATTTGGACATCCAATGGCATGTATATATTTTTGACAATTTGTCTCTTCGGTTTAGACCGAGAATCATCTAAACCTGCAGCTCATATACCAAAAATTGTAACACCCTTAACCTATATACATACCCGTATACAAGTCAATTATGTCACATCAGTCATACGAAACATTTACTATTAGAATACCGATAAAAAATGTTTCTTTAAAATTTCAAAAATGCATTTTTTATTTTAAAACTAATAATTTCATAAAATCATAATTTCTATTTAAATTTAAAAATTAAAACCGATTTAGATAACATTTAGGCAGTTTTATATTGTAACGTATCGTAAATCAAAGTTGTAAGAAAATTGATTGATTTGAAAATCGTTTATATCATAAATAATTAGGACTTAAATAACTAATATCATAACTTAAACAAATATATATCAACCAGACTCGAATCAGAGCAACTAGAAACTTCTTTAATATACATGCCACTACCAAATAAATTAACAGACAATATATCCTTAATTATTGATTTTGGTGACATAAATTATTCTTTTAAAAAATGATATTAACGTGTTCCCTATTTTCTCCTCCTAGCTTGCACCTACGTGTGAAACACTCACTAAGTTTTTGACTTAGTGAGGCATAAATGAGCATAATAAAACATTAAAACATTTTCTTAAACATTTCAGGAGAAACATTGAATACGGAAAACAAGATATATTTCATATAAATAACATATACTGTTATGCATTGTTCGAACTCAAGGTATGTGAGTACTTTGAAGTTGTGCAATGTAATTGCAATCGAAACTACCACGTAGAATATGCACCAAAGTGCCACATAGATTTGTCCCGAAAGACCGTGTGAATTATCCTGAAGGACCACATGGAATTGTCCCGAACGACCGCGTAGAAACCATTGACTCTTGGCATGCCAATTATACCTCTAATTCTAATATCACAAACTTTGGGCTTTAAGCATATAAGTATTTTACATAGCATTATTCAAATTATCATTTATTCACATAGAATATATTCTTATAGTAACGAAATCAAAACAGAGCTTTTAAAATGCGATTTAGGTAAAACCATAAAAATTAACATAAATAACTATTCAAAATTCTATTTTAGTTAAAAATCATTGAAAGTTGACTTATCACAAGTCTTATTCCCTTGTATTAACACATTAAACTGGTATGCACTCACATTTGCCTCACTTAAGCCCTAAGCAAAAACCCTTTTCACTTTCGCTCAATCTTTTTCTTACGTCGATTCGTTCGGTACTTGCTTTCGATCGAAATCTACATTTAACATTATCAAAATAAATACTGAACCTAAATAAATTGTTAACCAATCAGCATTTGCATAAATTAGATGAAACACGTAATTCACAATTTCAGGCTGAACAGTATCGGTACTCTAAACCCAGTACTGATACTTACCTCAGTATCGATATCCAAATTGTATTCTGGAATTTCCTCTTCAATTACAGTATCGGTACCTTACCATTGGTATCGATACTACCCCTTCATTATCGATTTTGTTCATCCGATTCATATAGTATCGATATTGTTCTTCCAGTACCGATACCTTTTCCCATAATCCACTTATTTCATTTCAAATTTGACCCAAAACTCACCTAAATCTCATACTTCTAACTCATTCATTCCCTTAAAATCAATAACACTTATCACAACCAACTTATATCAATTAAATTCCCTTTAACATCCAAAATTTTCACTAGAACACTTAAAACTAAAAATCACACCCATTCTTCAAACATGTTCTCAATCTTTCTAATACCTCAAACACCTTATTTAGACCTTTGAAAAGTCAAATATACCTTTAAAATCCAAATACTAATGATTTTTCATCAACTCCCTTAAAACCCCATTTTACTAAATCACCATTAACTCATCAATCCCATAGTTTCTAATCATCTTTAAGCATTCTTAAGTTTTTATAACACCCAAAACTCAAAACCAATTAAAAATGCAAGAAACAACCATCTTCAAGATTACTCACCTTAGCATAGAGGTTCACAGTGGAAATGAAGAAGAGAAGATGAAGAGAGAGCTTCTAGGCTTTTATTTTCCTTTTCTCATATTCCCTCACATGTTATATTAACCTTAAAATGAATTTTAAATTCATTTCATGCCAAAATTCCATTTTGCCCTTCCATCCTTCAATCTTTGATAATATATCCTAAACAAAAATTTCCAAATCAATCCTTGAACATTTCAATTTATCAAAATCAAACCGCTAAATTTTGAGTTCTTACACTTTAGTCACTGACCCGATGTTTGGATATTACACAAAGACTTAGCGAGTTTGAGATAGTCTCTCTTACTGAAGGTTATAGCGACATGATAGTCTCTCTTACTGAAGGTTGTAGCGCCATGGCTACAAGTCAGTTGCCATCAAAGCATAATGATTCATGGAGTTTCACTATTCCTTGTAACATTGGTGACACATTTGTAGGTAAAGCTTTATGTGATTTGGGTGTTAGCATAAATCTAACGCCATTTTCAATCTTTGGGAAATTTGAGAGCGACAAAGCAAGATCCACTATGGTTACTTTGCAACTTACTGATCGTTCCACCGTACATCCTAGTGGCATTATAGAAAACATGCTTGTTCGAGTGGACAAGTTTATCTTTCCTACGAATTTCATCATTTTGGATTGTGAAGTGGACAAAGATGTACCAATTATTCTCAGTCGCCCACTCCTTGCTACAGGCCGAGCATTGATTGATGTTGAATAGGGATATTTGACTATGCATTTGAATAATGAACATATTACTTTTAATTATTGAATAATGTTTCTTATATCAGTGGAAATGTTGATTGTTTTTCACTTGACATGATTGATATTTTTGCACGTGAGCATTTGGAGGAATATTATAGCGTAATAAAAATTTATATGATTTCGAAGCATTTGAAGAATTTCTGACGGATAAAGAAGCTGAATATTGTAGCAAGTATCTCCACATCATATACCTTTGCAAGTAAACGATCATATCATTCAAACATCGAAGTCATCTATTGAAGAACCACCTAAGCTTGAATTGAAACCACTGACAAAGCATTTGAAAATGCTTATCTTGAAGAAAATTAGACGTTGCCAGTCATTGTGGTATTATAGCTTACAACATCACAAAAAACTCATTTGATTGATGTGATGAAGCAACAAAAGAAGGCTATCACAAGGAGCATTGTTGATATAAAAAGAATTAGTCTGTCATTTGCAATGCACAAAATTCTTTTGGAGGATCACAATAGTAGCTCGACTGAATATCAACGAAGATTAAATCCAATCATGAAAGTAGTTCGAAATAAGATTATCAAATGGTTGGATATTGGGATTATATACCTAATTTCGGACAACAATTGGGTTGTTTCTTTGTAATTTGTTCCAAAAAAGGGTAGCATTACTGTGGTGACAAATGATAAGGGTGAACTAGTGCTGAAAAGAACCACCACTGGTTGGAGGATATGTATGGACTATATGAAGTAAATAAAGCAACGAGGAAAACCCATTTTCAATTTCCTTTCATAGACCAAATGTTAGATCGACTTGCGGGCAATGCTTTTTATTGTTTTTTTGGATGGATATAATGGTTACAACCAAATTGCTATAGCTCTAGAATATCAAGAGAAAACAACTTTTACATGCATGTATGTCACCTTTGCTTTTCACAAAATGCCATTTGGGTTGTTTAATGCTCCAGCGACATTCCATCGTTGTATGATGGTCATTTTCTCCGATATGATTAAGGACTATCTTGAAGTCTTTATGGATGATTTTATAGTATTTTTGAAGGATTTTGAGAAGTTTTTGAGCAATTTGGTTGTAGTTTTAAGAAGATGTGAGGAGACCAACTTAATTTTGAATTGGTAAAAATGCCATTGTATGGTCACAGAAGATATAATGCTAGGGAACTGGATTTCAAGTCATGGCATTGAAGTGGATAAAGAAAAAGTAGAGGTTATTGAAAAATTGTCGTCGCCTACTAATTTAAGGCAAGTCCAAAGCTTCCTTGGTCATGCTAGTTTTTATAGAAGGTTTATTAAAGACTTATTTCAAACTTCTAAGCCATTGTGCCCATTGCTGGAACATAACACGAAGTATGTTGTTAATGATGAAGTGTTTTAATATTTTGAGACAATTAAATTGAAGCTAGTAAATTCCCATGTTATTATAGCTCATATTGGAGTTTACCCTTTGAATTAATGTTTGATGCTAGTGATTTCGCTCTAGGAGCAGTGTTGGGGCAACAGAAGGAAAAAATGTTTTGTGCAATACATTATGCAACTAGGACATTGAATAAAGCTTGTATTAACTACAAGACAACTAAAAAGGACATGCTTGTTGTGGTGTTAGCTTTTGATAAATTTTGTTCCTAATTGGTGGGTACAAAAGTGATTATCTATACCAATCACTCAACGCTGAAGCATTTATTTGCTAATGATACAAAACCTCGTTTGATTGATGGGTGCTTTTACTCAATAATTTGACTGTGAGACTCAGGATAAGAAGGGATTTAAAAATCAATTGGCTAATCACTTATCTATGTTAGAATGAGGCAGTGAAGATGGAAGTATTGCAATAATTCTAGATGAATTCCCTGATGACATTGTTAGCTACTACAGTATTACCATGGTATGCTGATTTTGCCAACTATTTAGTTAATGGGATGATGCCACCAGACCTAAATTACCAAAGAAGAAGGAAATTTACGCGGCATGTATATCAATATCATTGGGATGAGTCATATTTTTTAAACACTGCAATGATCAACTTATGCAGATGTATCCCTTAATACGAGCAACAAAGCATTTTACAGCATTGTCATAGTGCCATATATTGTGGACATTTTGGTGGTATGCACACAGCAGCTAAAAAGCTTCAATATGGATATTATTGGCCATCATTTTTTAAAGATGCTAATGACTTTGTAAAGAATTATGATCGCTATCAGCGAACTGGGAATATTTCTCGACGAAATGAAATGCTAATGCAACCTATATTACAGAACTATTTGATGTGTGGGTATTATACTTTATGGGACCATATACATCTTCATGTGGAAACCTCTACATTTTAGTTATTGTAGAATGCGTATCCAAAAGGGCGGAAGTTGTAGCCTTGCCAAATAGCAATACTAAAGCAGTGTTACAATTCTTGCATAAAAACATTTTCACTCGCTTTGAAACACCTCGTGCATTTATCAGTGATGAAGGATCTCAATTTATTGGTCATCAATTTGCTAGAGCATTGAATAGATATGGAGTAAAGCATAAGATTGCTATAGCATATCATCCATAGTCTAATGGCCAAGTCGAGGTGTCTAACCGTGAAATCAAACAAATCCTTGAGAAAGTTGTGAACCCTTTTAAAAAGATTGGTCCCAACGCCTTGAAGAAGCACTATGGGCTTATAGAACTACTTATGAAACTCTATTGGTAATGTTCCCTTATCGTCTTGTTAATGGTAAAGATTTTCACTTATCGGTAGAGTTGGAGCATAAAGCTATGTGGGCGCTAAAAGGTTGAAATTTGATTTAGATATTGTTGGTGAAAAACAGATGCTAGAGCTCAATGAGTTAGAGGAACTTCGAAATAATTCCTATGAGAGTTCGTGCATTTATAAATTCAAGAGCAAGAAATGACATGATCATAATATTTTACCAAGTGAATTCATTGCTAAACAACAAGTGTTGTTATTTAATTCGAGGCTAAAATTATTCCCTGGGAAATTGTGTTCTCCTTGGTCAGGTCCTTTCCAAGTTCTTGAAGTTTTCCCTCATGGCACAGTATTATTGAAAAACTTGGGGATGGAAGTACATTTAAAGTTAATGGGCAATGTTTAAATTATTATTGCCAGCAACAAAGCCCTAGCATCGCTTCGATCACACTAAATGATCCTCCTTCTTTTTAATATTTTGTTCTCTTGAATAAGTCAATTCTTTTGACATTTATTTGTAAGTACTTATTTTCTTTATTTGTTTACAAGTGTTTTTGTTTGATCACTATCGGTTTGTTCTTCCATGTTGTATAGATATTCGCATTGCAGCATGCGTTCCTCGTTATATGAAAGCCACAACATTACAAGGTTACCCAAATATTTTTATGGTAAAAAATAGTGTGAGATGTCTCTCATTTACCCTTTTTCATTTTTAACTGCCACTTAACCCTATCATAACCGTCCATTCCAATCCATCCTTATCCCTCCTCCTTAGAATTTTAAATTTTAAAATTCTTTTATCCCTTCTTTCAAGTAACCCAATTTCCCCCATTTACTCCAGTTTCATCTTCTTCATGACCCAAAAACCCTTCGTAACCACTCTTCCATTTTTCTTCCTTGATATACAAACTGCCATGGCACCTAAAACTAAATCAAGTTTAAAGCAATCAATTCGTATGGCCCACTCCATCTCCTGATGTAGCTACACCGCTGGAAATGTCACCATCGGATGAAGTCACACGATTCATGGATGAAGAGCAAAAATGGCATTATAAGGAGGATTTTGAGGTCAAGATTTCTATGATGAGTAGGGCTTTTATTTATCTACAGACGAAGAGCCCTAAATCTTTGATTATATCACTCAGTTGATCACTTAGTGAGGTTGGGGGAAATTCTGTGAACATCCCAACGACATAAACCAACACATCGTTTGGAAATTTTATATCAACCTCATCGACAAAACTAAGCTTCTAATCTTTGTTCAAGAGAAGATGGTCCATTGGTGGCCATTGGTGGGAAAAACCAATAAATAATTTATCGGGTATCACCAAAGAGCCTTGAGAACATATGGCATTTGTGGAAAATTTAATTAAAGAGGAGTTGGAGCAAGTAGGGAGAAATGTTTCCTTACCCGATCGATCTTGGATGAGATCAACTACTGGCGTTTGAACCAAGAGATGCTTATATCTCCATCGAGATACACGAGTATGGTTTATTTTCCTTAGAACTAGATTAATGCCAACCATGCATTGTTCCACTATTCCTAAGGATCGAATCTTGTTGCTTCATTCCATTTTTTGGAAGAAAAATTGATGTTGGTAAAATAGTTTTTGATAAAATATTTACTTGTGGTCAGAAGACTTCCGGGTATTTGTATTTTCCATCGTTAATACTACAATGTGCTCTCAAGCACAAGTAGTTGTTTTGTCTTCTGATAGTCTTATAGAGAATCAAAGCCCAATCACCCATGTTGCTGTAAGGAAAACATTGTTAAAGGAAGGGCTAAACCCTAACGAAGCTCCCGAGGAACCATATATTTCTATGGATGTAGCACAACTCCTGTCTATTGATGACCAAACTTTGGAGGGCCTTAAAATGGCTATAGCATATTGGTATTAAGTTGAATCAGGCTATGGCCTTGTTGAGCCATTCGCTTTAAAATCATTCCCAGATGCACAGTGCCCAGATTCTATATTGGGAGTATGCACATAAAATGGATTTGGCGACCAAGACGATGTTTGTGAAGCTATTCATAGAGGCTGAAGCGCTATTTCCAATCTTTCCGGTGAAGGTATTGAAAGATCTGATGCAACCAGTAATGTCTGATGCTGGTCATAGCTCAGCTAGCACGGAGACTCCTAATGCCACACAGCCGGGAGAGGAAAAAGAAAATATGGCCACCGATACCAAGTCAGTGGAGGGTGAAGAAGAGATCGACGATGAAGAAGAATAAGATGGTGATAGTGAAAAGAAATATGAATCTAAGAAAGATACTGAAGTTTTACCTTTGGATGAGCA